TACCTTATGTTATCTGATAATCCAAAAATTAATTAATTAATTCCTAATTAGCTAACTATCTTGATTGCTCTCGAATTGAATCACCCTAACTAAATAGAGAAAGTACTTAAGAAAACTAAATTGATCTAAAATTTGATTCCGTAACTATCTTATTAAAATATCCAATTGATGTGAATTTCAGTTATGGGTTGGCAATTTCCCTATTGTCATGAACAATCTCTTTCGAGCACATGCCAATCTATCTATCATGTAATAACCCATATTTCTCTATCAAGGGTTTAATTAATGTAGATGCATTAATGACAAGAAAATCGAATGACATAAGCTCTTGCTGAATGAATGCCAAACGAATCATGTAAATTATCTCTAAGGTACATTCAATTCGTTTCTTTGATCAATTAGTCTGATTACCTAAACCATTTTTCAAGCAATCTAAGTAATCTCATGAAATAAGAGCAAATTGGTCAAAATTACTCTTAATATTAAAAACCCTAATCAAGGAATCCCAATAACCGAATAACCATCAATCGAATTAAATTAAAAGAGTAATTACATAACTGAAATAAAATCAATCATAATCTTCATTGAAGAAAGAATGAAAACTACCCAAAAGAAAACCCTAGCTGAACATGAATTTCCGAAATCCTTGAATTAAAGAAGAAGACAACCTAAAATTCCTTGCGTTGAAGTCCCGATCTTCTCTCCAATTCTCCTTCGAAAGCCTAGTAGTCCTTCTCCCAGCGCTTCTCCTTTGGTTCTTGTCAAAAGAAATCGAGAGCCCCCTTCTCTTCCTTCCATTCACTTTTATTCTCTTTCTTGTAGCTTTAGAGTCCTACTCTTACTCGAACTCTGCTAATTTAGTCGCCCAATGGAGCCTCCCAGATAGCATATGGGTGTGTCTTTTTTTTTCTACTCATGCCGAAGTGTTTCCTTGATAAGATATGGCCATGTCTTCATGCTCTATCACCCCAAAACTGTTCCAAACTCTTGTTTACCTAAAATTAAGCTCATTTAGGGTAATAACCATTAAAATGTATCCATAAAAACCATATATGAGGCAATAAAAAGTGTGTAGAATACACACACATCAAATACCCCCATACTTAAGCTTTTGCTTGTCCTCAATCAAAGATAATAATCATAAACAGATCATTCCCTCAATTTAATCCTATCCATTACATGAATTCTAGGATGAGAATGCATTAAGTAAGTGGAAATCATACATAAATATTCTAATTCATTCCCATGACAAGCCACTCTCACCACATACACAAGAACGAAGGAAGAGAAGAGCATGAGATTTTTCATGCTCCAACACTCAATTCCATTCAGTATATAATAGCTCCTTGACTTTCATGAATAACCATCACATCGAGCTTGATCTTAACTCCTATCAATGCACTAATTTGAATATCTAACTATATTTTTGTCCCCTTGAACTTCATCCATCATCGCGATTTTTTTTTTTTAATGTGAGTGCATTTTATGCTCCATCTCACAAGGGTCACAGGCCAGAGACAGATAGAACATTACTCATATTCCAAGTTGCTAGTTTTACTATTCAACTTGAAACAACGGAGTTGGGGCTGAACTCATATCATGAACCGCTAGTTTTACTATTCAACTCATGACATCGGAGTAGTTCGGACTTTGTCCAGGGGCAATTTTTCTTCCTTATTTTCAGCTACTAAACATTATTTATGCATTGACAACGCATGATGTTCACCAACTGCCCGAGTGTCCATTAAAACTTCAATCAAGTACAACTATACACATGAATAGAATTAATGTTGGCCTTGATGAAAGTCATATTCAACTTCCTAATCCTCATGTATTATGATAAAATTGAATAAGTCACAAAAACAAATCATAACATTTATGAGTATTTTTCCTTCAAACTTCATCAAATTCTCTCTCATGAATACACTTCATAGACAACAATTAATTCCGAGGAACTTACCAGTTTATTTGGTCTATCAATGCTTCCAAACATGCATGCAAGTGCATAATTATATCCTCCCCACACTTATTATAAACATTGTCCTCAATGTTCATGTTAATAATGCACAAAGACAGTATATGGGCAATGTAGAAAGAAGGAACTCAAGAATCTGGAGGAAGGGAATGGAGGGATCTTCCCTGAACAGCTTTTGGAGATCTGAAGTGGGCTCTTTCGTCATGTACCATCTAGCTGCTAAGAACCAAAAAGAAACTAGGAGCAAAGAGTTAAAAACAAAATAGTACAGAAGAAAAATAACAGCAAAACAAATGAGACAGTTTAGACCAATAGGAGGGTGAAGATAAAGCACATAAATCCCCACAACACTCGGAATGTCTACTCCTGCGGTGGGTTATGTTTGGCTTGGGCTGGGAAGGGAATCAAGCGATTTGTGTCGCCCAATTTTAGAGAGAAGAAGAAGCTTAGATGGTTTTGAGGTTTAACTGGATTCTCCCCTCTCTTCGAATTTAGATTGCCATATTTTCCATGGACACGGCTGTGTCTTGAGGCCAGTCTTTCCCTCTGTTGGTTTTGTTTTGTTTTAACTGAATAGAATAAATTTTGACCTAGTATTAAAGTTTAGAAATCTCTACCTAAAAATGAGCATCCTTGTAAAAAAAAAAACAAAAGGGAGTAATCAATGAAAGTAGAAAACAGAAATCATAAAAAAAAAATTTAATAATACTGAAGAAGATAGAAAGAGACTAAAAATAGAAACTACTTATCGACATTGGGTTGCCTCCCAATAAGCTCTTGTTTTCTGTCTGAAGCTCGACATCCCGATGTGATCAATGATCATCTAGGTATACAGTTGATGGGGTAGGCAATGCTCCATCCACTATATATGGTTTGAGGCGTTGACCGTTGACTTTAAACGTGCCTTGTTCTGGGTGTGTTACCTCTACAGCTCCATCAGGAAAGATTTGTGATATGGTGAAAGGTCCGGACCACCTCGATTTCAGCTTACCTAGGAACAAACGAAGGCGTGAATTATATAAAAGTACTTGCTGACCTACTTGAAAGTCACGCCTCAATAGATTCTTGTCATGCCATCATTTGGTTCGTTCCTTATATATCTTGGCATTCTCATAAGCTACAAGTCTGAATTCATCCATCTCATTGAGTTACATCCGTCGCGTTTCACCTACGGCCTACAAATCAAAATTCAATAGCTTCATGGACCAATACGCTTTATGCTCAAGTTCAACGGGTAGATGGCATGGTTTGCCAAAAACCAACTTATATGGGGACATGCCAATAGGTGTTTTGTATGCAGTTCTATATGCCCATAATGCATCATCTAACTTAACAGACCAGTATTTTCTTGAGGAGTCTACCATTTTCTCCAAAATTCTTTTTAATTCCCTATTAGTTAATTCGCATTGGCCACTGGTTTGAGGGTGATATGGGGTTGCTAATTTATGCGTGACACCATATTTTTGCATCAAATGCTCAAATTGGGAGTTACAAAAATGAGTCCCCCTATCACTAATTATAGTGTGTGGTGTGCCGAATCGAGTGAATAGCTTTTTAAGGAATTTGACTACTCTCCTAGAATCATTTGTGGGCAAGGCCATAGCTTCCACCCATTTGGACACATAGTCAACAAAAACTAGGATGTATTTATTTCCAAAAGAATTTGGGAAAGGTCCCATGAAGTCAATACCCCATACATCAAAGATTTCACATATCAGTATGTTAGTAAGAGGCATTTCATTATGTCGGGAGATGTTACCTGTTCTTTGGCATTGGTCACATGCGGACACATACCTATGGGCATCCTTGAATAAAGTGGGCCAATAGAAACCTGATTGTAGCACTTTGGCTGTTGTGCGGTTGGCTCCAAAATGGCCTCCTGCTTCTCGGTCATGGCAATATTTGAGCACAGACTCCATCTCCTCGTCGGGAACACATCTCCGAATGATCTGATCTGCACAAATCTTATACAAAAAGGGTCCTCCCACAAATAGTGTTTCACATCAGAGAAGAATTTCTTCTTTTGTTGATATGAGAGGTTATGAGGAAGGACTTTTTCAATGAGAAAGTTGGCAAAATAAGCATACCAAGGAGATGTATCTACCAGAATTGAATAGAGCTGCTCATTAGGAAATTCATCTTGGAGAGCGCTCATGGTCTTCCCTCCCAAATCTGAATCCTCTAACCGGAAGAGATGGTTTGCGACAAGGTTCTCGGTGCCATTTTTATCATGGATTTTGACATCGAACTCTTGAAGCAACAAGATCCACCTGATCAGCCTTGGCTTTGCATCTTTTTTTGCAAGTAAATGTCTAAGCGCTGAGTGATCTGTATACACAATAACTTTGGACAAGATTAGATAAGAGCGAAATTTATCAAAAGCAAAAATTACCGCTAGAAGCTTCTTTTCCGTCATGGTGTAATTCTGTTGAGCTTCATTCAAGGTCCTACTAGCATAGTAAATGGGCTGAAAATTTCTGTTCACTCTTTGTCATAAAACATCTCCAACTACTAAATCACTCGCATCGTACATCAACTCAAAGGGGAGTGTCCAATCCGGTGCTACTATGATCGGTGCATGAATCAACTTGTCTTTCAAGATATTGTATGCTTCTAAGCATTCTTTTGTAAAATCGAAAGGTACATCTTTCTATAATAGATTGGACAAAGGCTTAGCTATCTTGGAGAAATCCTTAATGAATCTTCTATAGAATCCTACGTGCCCCAAGAAGCTTCTCACAGACCGAATAGATGTTGGTGGTGGTAATTTCTCAATTGTCTCCACCTTAGCTCTATCAGCCTCGATCCCTTTTTGTGAGACTTTGTGTCCAAGTACAATACCTTCTTGCACCATGAAATAACATTTTTCCCAATTTAGCACTAGATGAGTTTCCTTGCAACGCTTGAGTAATTTTTTCAAGTTATGTAGGCATGCATCGAAGGAAGAACCAAAAACTAAAAAATCATCCATGAAAATCTCCATACACTTCTCCACCATGTCGAAAAATATAGCCATCATACACCTCTAAAATGTTGTTGGAGCATTACATAGTCCAAACGGCATCCTCCTGTAAGCAAAGGTGCCATAAGGACAAGTGAAGGTGGTCTTCTCCTGATCTTCGGGTGAAATCAGAATTTGATTGTAGCCCGAGTACCCATCTAGAAAACAGTAGAACTCATGACTAGCTAGTCTTTCTAACATCTGATCGATGAAAGGTAGAAGAAAGTGATCCTTGCATGTGGCATCATTCAGTTTTCTATAATCGATGCACACTCGCCATTCGGTAACCATCCTAGTCGGTATGAGCTCATTCTTCTCATTAGGCACTACTATCATGCTTCCTTTCTTTGGTACTACTTGGACAGAGCTTACCCATGAGCTATCTAAGATTGGGTAGATAATGTCTGCATCTAGTAGTTTGATGACCTCTGCCTTCACCACATCTTTCATGTTTGGATTCAGACGTCTTTGGGGCTGAACCGTGGGCTTGCATCCATCCTCCATCAGAATCTTATGAGTGTATATGGATGGATTGATGCCCTTGATGTTTGTTATCTTCCAAGCTAGAGCTGTCTTGTGTTCTCATAGCACCCGTAACAGTTTTTCCTTCTGCAAGGGAGTCAAGGCTGATGAGATAATCACTGGTAGAGATGAAGGTGCTTCTAAAAAGGCATGCTCTAGATGTGGTGGGAGTTGTTTCAGCTCAAGGGTGGGTGCCTCTTCAACTGAAGACTTGCTTTTTGGCATTGAAGGTCTATCCAAGCTCTCCAGCTTGATGAACCTCTTTCTCTGAAACTGAGGATTCACATCTAAGTATGCTAGCAGGCTCCGGATTTCTTCATCATCTTCAATTGTTGCTTCCCTTTCTTGTATGCATAACTCAAGGGGATCGACTGATCTGTTAACCTGAAAACATCCACCAACAACATAGTCAATAACATCTATCATATAACATGAATCATCACTAGATGGTGCATGTCTCATAGCATCAGACATCTTAAAAATTACTTCATCATCTTGAATTCTAAGGATTAATTTTTCTTGTTGGACATCTATCATTGCCTTTCCTGTAGCTAGGAAGGGTCACCCTAGAATAAGTGGGACCTCAACATCCTCTTCCATATCTAATACTATGAAATCCATGGGAAAAATAAATTTATCAACCTTAACAAGAACATCTTCTATAATTCCCCTAGGATGCTTGATAGACCTATCAGCTAATTGCAATGCAACTCTAGTAGGTCAGGATTCACCCAGCCCTAATTTCTTAAAAACAAAATAGGGAATCAAATTTATGCTAGCTCCTAAATCACACAATGCCTTATTGATCCTTAGACTGCCTATAGTGCAAGGAATAGTAAAACCCCTTGGATCTTTTAGTTTCTGAGGTAGCTTGTTGAGAAGGATTAATGAGCATTCTTCATTCAATGCAACTGTAGCCACTTCTCCCAACTTCCTTTTGTTCGCCAAGATTTCCTTAAGAAACTTTGCATAATGTGGCATTTGGGCTAAAGCATCTACAAAAAGAATGTTAATATGTAAACTATTGAAAATTTCAAGAAACTTACCAAAGTCCTTTTCCATTTTGTGTCGCTTAAGCCTATTGGGAAATGGTACTTGTGGCTTTTGACTTTTCTCCTCCCTTGAATCCGACTGCTCTTCCTCCTTTTCGGTTTCTAGAGTTGCACCTTTCTTACCTCCTTCTTGTGTTTTCTTTTCCACCTCCTTCAGCTCCTTACAATTTCTCAAGGTAATAGCTTGCACTTGCTCCCTTGGATTCGCCTCTGTATTGCTAGGCAACACACCTTGGACTCTAACGGATATCATTTGTGCCAATTGCCCCAATTGAGTCTCTAAATTCTTAATTGATGCCTCTTGATTCTGAAATCTTGTTTCCGCACTCGATATGAATTTAGTCATTAGCTCCTCTAAATTGGATTTCTTTTCAGGTTGAGCGAAATTTTGTGGAGGAGGTTTCACCACATTTTGATTTGACCATGAAAGATTAGGGTGATTCCACCATCCAGGATTAAAGGCATGAGGGTAGGAGTTACTTTGCTGTCTTTGAAGATTCCCTACGAAATCCACTTGCTCAGGGGACTGCATGAATTGATTTCCAACTTGGCATTCAGTACTGACATGACCTCCCCCACACCATTCACAGGCTACTGCTTGAACTTGCATGGCTGTAAGTTGCATGTCATCGATCTTCTTGCTAAGAGCTCCAATTTGTGTAGAGTTGTATAAGTGTCTACGTTGTGAATGCCGGCTTGCTTCTTAACTTGGGCCCTCTCGGAATGCCACTAATAGTTTTTTGCAACCATCTCTTCAATAAGTGCGTGAGCAACTTCAGGTGTCTTGTTGTTAATAGATCCTCCAGCTACAACATCCATGATAGTCTTATTTACCTTAGTCAATCCATTGTAGAATGTCTGAACCTGGAGCCAAACAGAAGTCCATGATGAGGGACCTTCCTCAATAGTTCCTTGTAGTGCTCCCATGACTCATATAATGATTCCCCATCCTACTGAGTGAAAGTTGTGATGTTATTCCGCATCTTTGTAGTCTTGGATGGAGGAAAATACTTGGATAGGAAGCGGCTGGCCATTTCATCCCAAGTTGAGATCGATCCAGCTGGTAGAGAGTTGAGCCAAGTCTTAGCCTTGTCCTTCAAAGAAAAAGGAAACAATCTGAGTCTCACAACATCATCACTAACTCTGTTGTGTTTGAATGTGTCACATATCTTCAAGAAGTTAGTGATGTGAGTGTTGGGATCCTCATTAGCCAATCCACAGAACTTAACTATATTCTGAATCATCTGAATGATTGTCAGCTTGATTTCAAAGTTGTTGGCAGCTATAGTCGGTCCCGCTATGCTTGAGGCTGCACCAGTGAGGGTTGGCTTGGCATAGTCCACCATAGTCCTTTGCTCGGCCATCTTCGTTCTTTCAGCTTTCCCTTGCTTCAAGGCTCTAAGACGACGGTGAAGAGTTCGGTTAATCTCCGGATCGTAGATGATGCTCTCCTTCCCACTACTGCGTGTTATATACTGAACAAGTCAAAGTCGTAAAGATACTATAACACACAACATAGATATATTATACGAAATCAGATTAACAACAGTAGATGATTCCTAATATTGTTATGATAATCCCCGGCAACAGCGCCAAAAACTTGATGCGCTTAAAACTACAGTAGCAAGTGCACTAGTCGCTAAAGTAATATACTGATGAGTAATTTAAGTATCATTCCCACGAGGATTAGTCCAACAACTACTAGTACTTAATTTACCTTATGTTATCTGATAATTCGAAAATTAATTAATTAATTCCTAATTAGCTAACTATCCTAATTGCTCTCGAATTGAATCACCCTAACTAAATAGAGAAAGCACTCATGAAAACTCAATTGATCTCAAATTCAATTCCATAACTATCTTATTAAAATATCCAACTGATGTGAATTTCAGTTATGGGTTGGCGATTTCCCTATTGTCATGAACAGTCTCTTTCGAGCACATGCCAATCTATCATGTAATAACCCCTATATGTCTATCAAGGGTTTAATTAATGTAGATACATTAATGACAAGAAAATCAAATGACATAAGCTCTTGATGAATGAATGCCAAATGAATCATGTAAATTATCTCTAGGGTACATTCAATTCATTTCCTTGATCAATTAGTCCGATTACCTAAACCCTTTCTCAAGCAATCTAAGTAATCTCATGAAATAAGAGCAAATTGGCCGAAATTACTCTTAATATTAAAAACCCTAATCAAGGAATCCCAATAACTGAATAACCATCAATCAAATTAAATTAAAAGAGTAATTACATAACTGAAATAAAATCAATCATAATCTTCATTGAAGAAAGAATAAAAACTACACAAAAGAAAACCCTAGCTAAACATGGATTTCCGAAATCCTTGAATTAAAGAAGAAGACAACCTAAAATTCCTTGCGTTGAAGTCTCAATCTTCTCTCCAATTCTCCTTCAAAAGCCTAGTAGTCCTTCTCCTAGCGCTTCTCCTTTGGTTCTTGTCAAAAGAAATCGAGATCCCCCTTTTCTTCCTTCCCTTCGCTTTTATACTCTTTCTTGTAGCTTTAGAGTCCTACTCTTACTCGAACTCTTCTAATTTAGTTGCCCAGTGGAGCCTCCCAGATAGCATACGGCTGTGTCTTTTTTTTTCTACTCAGGCCGAAGTGCTTCCTTGATTCTGGCCTTGTCTTCATGCTCTATCACCCCAAAATTGTTCCAAACTCTTGTTTACCTAAAATTAAGCTCATTTAGGATAAGAACCATTAAAATTTATCCATAAAAGCCATATATGAGGCAATAAAAAGTGTGTAGAATACACACACATCAGGAACCCTAAGCAAGCTCAGGATTTAAGAAAAAAGTCAACATCTAATCAAACTAAGAAGCTAATTCAGCAAAACTAGAAGCAATTTAGCTTAGCAAATGTGGCCTCTCAAGAAACTTGTACAACAACATCTCAGGAATGTCCCTCTGGTTCTAATCCCAAGGAAGAGATAATCAATTCTTTCCGTAACCATTTGGAGCTTTATGGTAGGTCACTTCACTAGGTGGATTCTGACCCTACTCTATTTACTTCTTCACATCTACTTCAAGTAACTCTGCCACAACCTTTCATGTATCATCTCATACTTTTGAATCTCCTTGGATAATTGACTATATATGCAGCTTCAAATCACATGATTGGTAAGTCAAATCTGTTTTAGGCACATAATCTCCCTTTTAGGAGATAAGGTGAGACTTGCTCATGGGTCATTCTTCGCCATAGCCGGTTAAGGAACCGTTTCTCTTCCTTTTGGCCTTACCCTCTCAAATGTATTGCATGTTCTGAAATTGCTTATTAATTTACTTTTTATTAGTAGCATTTTTCATTCCTTAAATTGTTCAGTAACTATTTTCCCTCCTCTTGTTTGTTTCAAGATTTGACCTCCAAGACGATGATTGGTAAAGGAAGTATGGTATATGGCCTCTATGTGTTAGAGAATAAAGCCGGTCTTGTGGCTACAAAGTCTTTAAGTTTCTCTAGTGAGAAACAAGCCTACCTATGGCATAATCATCTTGGTCATCTTTCTTTTGAGTCATTAAAATTTATGTTTCTAGAAATATTTAAGTCTTTATCAGTCAATGAATCAAAGTGTCAAACGTATTAGTTGAGCAAACATTGTAGAAGCTCATTTCCATTAAGAAATAAAAAATTTGAATTTCCTTTTCATATTGTTTATTCTAATGTTTGGGCCCTGTTACTCTATTTTTCAAAACCGGCTATAAGTATTTCATTACATTGATTGATGACTACTCTAGATATACTTGGATGTATCCCATGCAATCCAAAGATGATGTACCTAAGATTATAAAATATTTTCAATGTATGGTGTTTACTCAGTTCCAAAATGATATTCATGTCTTCTAGTCAAACAACACAAAAGAATACTTTCACAATGATGTCATGAAGTTCTTTGCTTAGTGTAGACCTCTTCACCAAAGTTCTTGTGCTAGAACACCTCAACAAATTGGTGTGATTGAGAGAAAAAAAATGTCACATTCTTGAGGTTGCTCGTGGATTATTATTACATATGCATGTTCCCAAATGTTTTTGGATGGATGCTCTATCTACTGCATATCTTATCAATTGTACTCCCTCTTGGTTGTTAGAGTATAAGGCCCTACATAAACTTTTGTTCCCTAAGGCCTCCTTGCTTTCTAGTCCAATGCGTATCTTCAGATGTCATTGCTTTGTTCATGACATGAATCCTACTCGTGGTAAGCTCGACCTTTGTGCTATCTTGTGTGTATTTTTGTTTACCCTTTGTCATAAAAGGGCTACCAATGCTTTGATCTTACTTCTCGCAAGTATTGTCTCCATGGATGTCTCCCTTTTTTAGAATGAACATTTCTTCCCTATTTCTCCTTAGGGAGAGATTGGAGTTAAGGAGAAATACATTCGGATTCAACTTCTTTTTCTTCCTGATCCTCCTCCATTTTGTGTCTTTTTGTCGTCACCACAAGGGTCAGTAGAGTTCGAGAACCATAGAGCCTGAAATTATGCTACTAACATCATTAGACTATCCAAAGGTAGAACCTCCTCAACTAGGTATCCTTGTTCCTATTGATATGTTGGATTCTCTTGCTATTGATGATTTAGATATTTCTATTGCTAAGAGAAAGGGCGTTATATCTTGGATTACTAATCATGTTTTACCTTCATTATGTGTGTTTCTTACCTCCATTGACAACATTTCTATCCCTAAGAATGTGGTAGAAATTTTGTCAAACCTGAATGCATAGATGCAATGAAGGAAGAAATTAATGCCTTGCACAAAAATGACACTTGTGAATTGATTAAACTTCCCAAAGGAAAAGAACCAATGGGATGAAAGTGGATGCTCACTGTGAAGCATAGGGTTGATGGCTCAGTGGAAAGGTACAAAACCAAATTGGTGGCAAAGGGGTTTGCCCGGGTGTATGGAGTGGACTATGTAGAGACCTTTTCCTCATTAGACAAGATGAACTCTATTAGGATTCTTCTTTCTCTTGCAGCTAATTATAATTGGCATTTTCACCAACTAGACATTAAAAATGCCTTCTTGAACCATAAACCCTATTGGGCGAATTAGGCTTTTCAGTTGATAGTCCCATGTCCATTTATTGTAATAACAAAGCTGCTATCAACATTGTAGCCAACCCAATTCTTTATGAAAGGACAAAATACATTAAAGTGGCAAGCATTCTATTAGAGAGAAACTTGTGAGTTGAGAAGTGTGCACTCCTTATATTAGCTTGGAAGAACTACTTGCAGATAATCTTCACTAAAGGCCTTCATCGTGTGCGACACAATGATTTTTGTGACAAGTTGGGCATGATTAACATCTATGTTCCAACTTGAGGAGGAGTGTTAGAAACTTAGAATAATTATTGTTTAATGTAGTATGTGCCACAAGGGCACAAATGTCTTTTCCCTTTAATTTTTTCATCGCCCTATGTAATTAATGAAATTTGGCGCCGCCAGACATGTTGCTCTCTAATCTCTCTCTTATCTTCTCCCTTTCTCTCTTCCCTTTCTCTTCTCTTCTTTTTCCACACTTTCTACCCTATTTTAAGTAAATAATACATCCAAAGCTAGATACTTCAATGAATCCTAGATGGAGAGCCAAGGCTCTT